ATAATAAAAAAAAACAGCGATATTGACTCTTGTACAAAGTTTTATTCCGAACTTACAAATGATAAAATTATTGGAAAAAGTGAACACCCATTTTAAATTACCACGAGCCGCCACTGCAAGCAATAACTACCAACTATATAAAAAAAGAATACATAAAGCAGATGTGGATCCAAAATGTCGCATCTGCAAGCAATATGACGAAACCGTAAGGCATATAATGACAGGGTGTCCAATATTAGCCAGCAAAGAATACATCAGCCGCCACAATAAAGTATGTACAAGTTTGCACTACAATATATGCCAGCACTACAAAATAATAACGGAAACAAATTGGTACGACCATATTCCTAAAAGCGTCGAAACCAAAGATGACATAACAATAATCTGGGACAGCCAAGTAGAAACAGACAGAACAATTAATGCCAATAAGCCAGATATAATAATCAAAGATCTAGGCCAAAAAGTCTGCTACATTATAGATGTGGCAATACCATCGGACAATTCAGTTACTCAAAAGGAAGCAGAAAAGAGACTGGAATATAGAAATCTACAAATAGAACTAAGTAGGATGTGGGGCTTAAAAACTACAATATTACCGATCATCATAGGAGCAACAGGAACAATTCATAAAAACTTCACAAATATTCTTAAAACTATACCTGGTAACGCCGACCATAAAACAACATACCAGCTACAAAAAACAACAGTATTAGGCACAGCACACATATTAAGAAAAGTAACATAGTTAACAGAAGAGTCTCTACCTGAGGTAACAGGCAGTTTCTTGGACGAAGACGAAATATACCCGAAAAACAACGAAATCGGAGAAGAAAGAATAATAATAATTAATAATAATAATAATAATAATAATAATAATAATAATAATTAATAATAATAATAATAATAATAATAATAATAATAATTTCACTGTTAGGTACTAATTAACAGTGCTGTTCCTAAAGTGGCGCTGGGTAACAGTAACAAAGCCTACACAGAACACGAGGCTAATAACTGTAGCAGTTGATGCCGATGACACAAAAAAATACTGAAAAATTTAAATTTAGCACTTTTCCATTACGGTCCATTTTAGAAAAATCATGTATAAACAAAAATTATAGAGATCGATATCGCAAACAACTTTTAGTTCAACAATTTTCATAAAAATCAGAATTTTGCATATTTTGTCAAATTTCTCGAACACGGACCATTTCAGGAAATTTTGACATAAAACAAAAATTATAGATAATAATATTAGAAGTAATTTTTATTTGAACAATTTTCTTCTCCAAACATAAATAACAGATATAAAAACGGCCTCCCATAAAGTACCCCACCAGATGTTTCGACTTTGTCCAAAATCTAATCATTTCACGTCAGTTTAAAATTTAATGTTTTTTTCTTTATCCGTTTTTGAGTTTTCATCAAAATTCGAAATTTACACATTTTCTCAAATATCTCGAATACGGTCCATTTTAGAGAAATTATGTATAGAATAAAAATTATAGAGAATTATATTACAAACAACTTTTATTTTAACAATTTTTATAAATTATTTTTTTTTACATTTTGTCAAATTTCTTGAATGCGGACCATTTTTGTATAGAACAAAAATTATAGATTATTATATTAAAAGTAACTTTTATTTAAAGAATTTTCTTCTCCAAACGTAAATAACAGATATATTCCATAAAATATAAAAATGATCACCTATAAAGTACCCCCCAGATGTTCCGACTCTGCCCAAAATCTAATCAGTTCATTAGACGCTGGAATAAGGCTTAAGTTTAAAATTTGTTGTTTTTCTGTGTATCTGTTCATGAGTTATGCGACATACAGACACACACAGATACACACACGCACGCATGCACGCGCCCACACACACACACGCACGCACACACACACACACACACACACACACACACACACACACACACACACACACACACACACACACACGCGCACGCACGCATGCACACACACAGACATCATCGCGAAAATAGTCAAAACGGATTCAGGGAACCTCAAAACGTAAAAATCCGTCGAAAACTTGAGGTCGAAAAAAATCATGATTCCTATACTTTCCTTATATCTGTATACAGATAGGAAAGTAAAAAAACAATAATAAAAACAATAATAATTATTATAATAATAATAATTCCAACAACAATCCTTTTCTGTGCCGGATTAAGACTAGCGTAAAGTGGGGTTACTTTGCACAAAATTTTTGTTTGTTTTTAATATCTATGGTTTTGTCGGGAATTATAATGCCCGCTCTAACTATATGAAAATTTAATACTTTGGCTACATAGTTTTGTAATTAGAAAGCATAAAAAAAAATAGAACCACATTTTACAAAAGTTAAAAAAGTTGGCAAAGTTACCTCGAAGTGCCAAGACCAAATGGTAAGACACAAAATACATGTTTCCCCATTGTAAGAAAATCCCAGATATTTCTGATATGCCGCTAAAACAGGAATTTGCCAATAACTAGCTGACAAATCTATAAGACTCTATAAGACTTACATGACCTGGTGAAAATTGACCAATAAATTCATTTGGATTTAGAGGGACCACATTAACCATTCTTTTGTTCAGGTGCCTGGCATCCAAACATACCCTGACAGAACCATCTTTTTTTCTAGTCACTACTAACGGACTTACTCGGTTTGTGTTTTTTTTTTATAACCCCCCACTGCACCATTTCCGACACCTGTCTCTCCACTTCCTCTTTATACGCATGGGGAATGGGCAATGACCTAAGATAAAAGGGACTATAGTTTCTTAATTCTAATTCATGAACGTACGCCACTGTCCTTCCTGGTTGATCCGAAAACACATCTTAATACCCTAACAAAAACTGATCAAATAGCTCATTTTTCTCCTCTGACAACATTGTGGATTGAAATGCCACTGCCCTAATTGTTTCTTCTGAGTAAACCTCTCTTATCGGTCTTAGATCCCCTTCTCCTATTTCCTCTTCCAACGAAATCTCCGCCACTGCCTTACAGTTATTTTCGTATTTTGCGTCTGTTTCTAGAAATGAAATTTCATCTCTAACTCCATCAAGCACTCCTTTTAACTTATTAACCTCAAAATTCATTGTTACCGAAAAATCCGTCATCCAGTCACAGCCAAGAATTACGTCCCTAACCAACGCATTGACCACAATACAATGATACTCAAATGACACATTATCAATCTCAAACCGCAAATATACTTGTTCCTTCACCTTTTTCCTGCTAAGGCCCCGTGAATCTTAATACCGTTTGTAGGAAGGGTGGGTATGTTTGACGATTTGCCATTTAACTGGCCAAGAAATTCCTCGCTAATACAGGAAAAATAACTGCCTGCTTTTTTTTTCTGGTTCTTCAATAATGTCACTTTCAAAATTATCATGCATTTGCGTCAAGGTCGTATAATAATTTTTTATGGTTAAACAACATGAATTGGTTCCAAATTGATTTATGAGTTTTGACTATATTAATTGGAATATTGTTAAATTTACCCTATCCATCGAAAAACCTCCAACCCTGTGGGTTTTGCATATTTTTATTTTTCAAATACTATTGAAAATACCAAAAAGTCGACATTGTTGACAGATGTAAAACACTTTTAAAATAATTCGCCAACGATCTCTTGCGGTAAAGAGCCCATTGGCGTGCACTTTACAATTATTATTAAATAAAAGTTAAATAAGTAATATTTAATTGTTTCCTTTTTTTTACTTTTTTTTTTCTTTTCTTTTACTTTTTTAATTTTTTTTTTTTTAATTTTTACTCCAGTTTGTTCGTACAGATTGATTGCCTTAAATTTGTTAAAAGAAATGCCTGTAACCTCAAGATTCAATTTATTTATTACCCTCAATGTTCTTTCAATAACAAAATGAATGCCTTAGTTTGTATTGTGAAATGGAACATGGAAAATATTTAAGGTAGTTCACTCGTAAAACGGCTTTACTTAAGAATTCAATAAAATTTAAATATAAGGTTTATGAAAGTGTCGTTTACGTAACTAAAAAAAATTAGATTTTTTGACCATCTGTGAAACGAGATATTAACAATCAAAATGTGCATAATTAACACTCTTGAAGCCTATCATGTACACAAGCAATGCATTTATTTCAAGATATCTCGAAAACGGTTCTTACCATATATTTTAAAAACTAATGTTAAATAAATCAAGAAGTTATCAAATTTTATAGATAATCGCTGAATTTTTTGACTATCTTAGTAAAAAGATGTAGATTTTTAAAATAAAAATATTTTTAAAGCAGTTGACGAGTAGTTTCGTAAAATTATTACAACTTGGCAACATTGTAGCCACTTCACGTATCAAAGTAACACTCGATCAGCTAAGAGGTTGTTATAAACACGCGACGTGTTCTTGAAAAATTAATTCGTCCACTGTGTTTGAGAACTGGAATCAGCGGTTCTGTTTGAACCAAAACAAACCCTTAAAATTAGTATAAGGAAGTCACAAATTTCTATACCATATCGTTTAAATATTTGCGAGTTTGCCGGATGAAATTGAATAAAATTATAACTTGTCCATATGTGTTTATATACATGTGTTTTGTACAGTCTCTTACAAAAATAAAATTTATTAGCATTGAGAATCTCGAACTTTTGGTATTCACCATTACGCGATATTTTTATGTACGACTGTCGCGAGTGAACTACCTTAATTGCCTAATGGCTATATTAGGAACATTGAAAGATATAATTTCTAAGAGTTTCGGGCATATGATTAGACCATTTAATAATCTAGATAAAATTCAACACATAAGGTCAATAAACGCTGTTTACTCCCGAAATACATAGAAAATTTAATTTATGACCCTTTTATAATTTATTAACAAATATATAAAATTTTATGTACGACCGTTTTAATGATCGTTTATTAATAAATAAGTATTATTTTTTCTTTTTCGCCTTTTTGTGAGCAGGTTAGGTTAGGTTAGAAAGAAATTTACTTTACCGCCCTATAAAAATATAAACATACCTTAAGATCCCTATGAGTTATACCTCTATTATGAAGATAATCTACAGCTAAAACCATTTGATAAAACAGAAATTTGATGTTTGATTCTGTCATAGGTTCATGTGACAAAATTCTATTCGTCAATTCTCCTCCCTTCATATAATCTAATACAATAAATACTTCTTTCGGAGTTTCCACAATATTTTTCATACTGATTATAAATGGCTACAAAATTGCATCATTATTTGAATTAAAAAAATTTGTTAAAATTAAATGCTTACATAGTTTAATGCGGATAAAATGCTTATTTCTGTGTTTATTTTACTTGGATGGTTTAGTTGGTGTATTTGAGATGCTGTGCTGCGACCTTTCATAATTTTCTTTATGGCTACCATCTTACAAGTCAACTAGAAATAAAGAAAAGCCTTAAAAATATACATTTTTAAAAATTATATTATTTTACCTTTTCATATGCTAATCGTACTTCTCCCACAGCTCCTTTTCCTAATACTGTTGATGGTTCATAATATGCTTTCAATTCAACAGGAAGAAAAGTTGTATCGTGATCATACATGCATTTATAAATAAAAACTGAAATAGTACAAATTTTAACTTAAGGTATAATTATCTGACATATATTTATTTTTCATTGCTGTTAGGTTTTTATTTTTTTATACCTATTAATTAAAAATACAATTATTATGGATCATAATGTAAAATTAAAACTTAGTGCATAGCTCTAGAATGTATATTTTTTAATTTCAAATCATTGATAAAGCTACATGTTTACAATGGCCTTAAGTTTTATTATTTTTAAGACCTTCATTAGGACTACTAAAAAGCTATTGACACATGTCCTTCTACCTGTGTTTGAAATTTTTATTTCTCTGTAGGTACCTGTAACAATAGCTCGCGGCCATATCTCAAGACCTGTTTATTTTAAATTTTAAAATCACCACGAGAAAAAACCTGGAAATTATTTTGAGAATCGTAGGATGGCCGCTGAATAACGTAACTGAATACCAAACAGTAATATGCTTATTTTGTACAAAATTTATCAAGGTAATTCTAAAAATTTCCAAAATATTCCGTAATTTTTGTTCGAGATAATTTCCTACTATCTTGTCATATAAGACGCGAGGGGAAGTGAGAACCGTGGTTTGAAACAAACCTGTTGAACTCCGGTTCTACTTAACTTGGTCTTTTTGAAAACAGCCCTTATCCTCTAATGTACTATTTATAAATTTGAACGAATGTAATGAGCATGCCAGAGGGCGCTTATTTTTTTAGAAATCTTGATAATATTAAATATAAGTAGGTATACAGATTAAAAGAATACTGATTCTAAATTACCAACAAATCAGTAAAAATCGGGTATCGATGTGTAACCTACCTCACCCAGGTACCTTCATAATTTATTAATTCCATTTTTTAAATTCCAATTCCTTCATTATGACGAAAAAATCTACATAATTAAATCTTATCTACGACACTTAATAAATAAAAACAATAAATCTTTTCGCAAAAGACATTTGCAGGCCCAATAAACAGATAAGATAAAATTTATTCCATGGGAACTCAACTCGAAACTGTCATAAAACATGCTTCTTTTAAGGCCGTGCAAGGTAAGTGTGAACAAGTCCTCCCAAAAAGGGACAAAATATGCCTTTTCATCATGTGATGAGCGCAAGCGCCGCCACCATGTTGAAATAGCGCCAATTCAAAAGTTTCGTACTGTTTTGATCAACAATGGCTGGAACAGCAGTATTATCTCTACATACAAATCAATCAGAAAAAATCATTGATGGTAATTTACATTTTTATAACTCTGTGGAAGCACATAGTTGTGAGCAATTAAAAAGTTTCTTGAAGTGACGTGGACGTTCGGAACAAGAAAAAAAAGTGTGGTGATTGAGAGGTTAGGTTTCAATGCATATTAACTGTGTAAAAAATTAATGAAAACAAATAATAATTATAACTCTATTCTAATTAGTAATGCCAATCAACTATTAATAATTGCAAAAACACTTTAACATGAAAGTTATTCATGAGTATAATTTAAATTATTTAAAATTTTAAGGTCAATATGACATTTTTAATAATATTACTGTGTATACCGAAGTAATATTTAATATTAAAAAATATTATTTAATACCAGACAAGAATTTTCTTCTGTTGAACCACTTTTTCCATGAAAATGTAGTGAACAAATTAAAGTATTTTTAGTAACATCATCCTTCAATCGATCGAAAACTTTTGTCACTTCGATCACATCATTTCACCCATAATACTCATTTTGAACATGTTTTAATATGTATTTTATCTAATGATTTGATAGTTTTTTACGATATTGCAGGCAAGTCATTTTATAAAATAATAATTTATATCGTGTGTTACTTTTACATACTCATAACAATATCGTTTAGTTTTTCCATTCCGCAAAGATAACAAAATTAATTGATTGTAAAAATTGATTTTTCAATTAAGACACTTATTACTTTACTTTTTTTATCCCATTTGTTAAACGAATACACCTAAAATTAATATTTATCGATTATAATTTTTTTCACGTGGACATTATAACATGTTTGTTTACAAAAAACAGTACGAAAAAAAAATTGGCCTATACTGACGCATGCGCACAAAAAAAATTGTGATAAAAAGGCCTATTAAGTTAAACGATAAGTGCTGCCTCTTTTATAGTTAGATGTATGTAGAAAATGTATATATTAAGTTAACCCCTAAACATTTACAGAGGTGCTACAATAGGTTGAACAAAATAACCGAAAAAAAGTCTATAATAACTAGATAGGAAAGTCATGTGTTGGATACATCAGATTATTATTTCTGAAGCACATTTTAATTAAAAATATGTCATCCCAGATTTCAACCATATTTTAGAGTCATTTTATAATTACCTTGTAATCTGGGCCCAACAGATATTCTATCATCATTCTGTAAAATCTGCATTTTATTTTTACCAATCAGTCGGTTATTAAGATAAGTTCCTACTTTACTTAAATCAGTAATATAAGCAATGTTCTTTTCAGAATCTTTGCATATTTTGAAATGCTCCTTGCTAAAAATATTCTTATTGCTTTTGTTCAGTCTGGTCACTTCTACTGGAACATCACACATTAGAGATCTCCCAACTTTAAAACAATCTTTGTGTAAATCTATAACAAAAATACTTTTTTTTTTTCAGGTACAATTACAATTAAAGACCATTTTGAGATATTTCCTTGTCAATTACTAATTAAATGATTACTGCAATGGAAAACCCCTTAGTAGGTAGTCGTTAATCCAAACACAAATAGTACAGGATGGTATTTAAATTCCCTGAATTATTTTCCTGGAAGAGAAATGTTTCCGTATGAATATTTTGAGACCGAATTTTAGTAAACTCTTGACAACGAAAGTAATAATGTAGCGTACTTGGGTAAAAAAAGCATTTATTGCCTGATGTAAAAGTGATTGTGAAAAATGTTTATGAATCTTTAAAAAATAATAAGTAAAGATATATTTCAAGCTCATACCTACGAAGAAGCTCTGAATCTTTAGCTGCGATCAATGAGTGTCTAGGATTCTTGGTGTGATTTGGGTAGCAGGATCAGCTTGCTGAATGGTAGGCTCAATTTGCAGAAATTAAATTTGTGTCAAACGACAATTCTCGTTTAATGAAACGTAGCATTTACAATTGAAAGTGAACTTGTTTATTTGTCACTTGGAGTTTTAATCAGCAATCAGTTGGGATCGCTATGTCTCATTGAACACAGCTTCTAATATAGGTAGTAAGCCAAAATGATATATCTCGAAACGGTCTTTGCAGATCTATTGATTATGATAAAAAAATATTTGTTTTTCCTGGATTAAACATTACTTTTATTAAATGTTTTAAACCTAAAGCAAAACAGATGTCAGCATAATTTTTAATAAAAATAGGAGCAAAAGTGATATTGTGAGGAGTATGTAGGTTTGCTGAACAAATAACAGATTAACCACAAGAAGTTACATTTACTAGTAGTACAGGATCCGAAGTAAGGTCGGCCTTCACCCATTTGTTTAACGGATGAAAAGTATTTTATATCAAATGTAATATATTAGATAATATATCGCGAATAGGTTGACTGAAAAATTTCAGTCCAGGATATGATTAGTTAAAAATTTAAAAATGATTTTTTTTAAACATTGCACTTGTTTGTTTAATAGACAAATTACATACCAATCAAAAGTATACCAGTTGTCATATCTTAAGAAGCGAATTATTGTTGCGAATAAATATGTGCGACAGAGAGGTCCCAGCGTTGTATCCCAATGAGTACACGTACTTAAAGTCGAAAACTGGTTAATAGCCAAACGTATAAAACGTATCACATGCATTAGAAATTAAAAATTTAAAAAAACTGACTTCAAAAACGTGCAGATGCCATCACCACATCTTAACCAAATTTATATGGGACAACCCCTGAGGTACCCCCTTACTAACAAAAAAAGAATCATATAAATCGGACAAGGTGGTAAAGCATTATCGCTAAACATACATAAAAAATGAAGAATTTGAGGATTTTCTCATGGATCCAATTATTAGATTTTGACCAAATTTATATGGGACCACCCCTAAAGTACCCCCTTTCTAACAAAAAGAATAATTGAAATCGGACACCTTGTTAAAAAATTATCGATGAACATACATAAAAAAAATATTGCGACGAATTGAGAACCTCCTCCTTTTTTGAAGTCTGTTAAAAATAGTTCAAATGTCGGGGAAAATAACGTCATTTGCAACCAAACGTTATAAAAAACGTATTATTTTATAAAATTTTCAATTTTCTGTTGAAAATTACTAGAAAAATACGTTAGAAAATAGTATTTCATGTACGTAAAACTTATCAACTAAAATTTCAACGTTAAATGTTCAACCAATAACATTTTTTTGATACCATACAACGTTGAAAAAACGAGTGTTTGCTCATTGGGATACAAAAACTTTATTGTATTAAAATATAAATACAGAGGTATTTTAATTATTTTTTTTTTTTTAATAATAAACATTATTCGGGATCTGATTCATCGGAAGTAAAATTTTGATCTACAACTTCGGAAGATTCTTCGTCACCGCTTTCTTTTTCTGTTGTTTCTACAATAGAAGGTTTGAATAAATGGCGGGACTTGTTTCCTTGTTGGTAGTTGAATCGTAAGCGCTTAGCGCGCTGCTATCACTAAATTCAAACCCGTTTTACACCCATAAATAAATATGTTTTCAAAAATAATGACAAAGAAATCAATAATTTTACTGATTTGCCCCTTTAAATTTCACTTTAATATGTGTGATTAAATACAGGGATAATCGTTAATAAATTTAAAGTTAGAGCTAAATTTAAATATTATTAGATGGTGTGAATCTGGCTTTGAAAATAAATTAGGTTATGTTGCTATAAATATGTCAGCTTGATATTATTTTCATTTTCAAATGCAGGTGATATTTTTTCAAATGTAGGTGAGTAAATTGTATTAAGTGTAAGTTAGATTTAACTATAGGGAGGTTCTTAAGAAAATCATTAACTTAACTTCTGATTCATTTAAATTTTAATTGCAGAAGTAAGTATTTTTCTCACAAAACTAACAAGAAATTTTATGTTTTTCCTGCTATTATTACTCTAGAGATAAATGGATCCACATTTTAAACATTTGCGGTCAAAAAAATGAAAGGAGTTGTGAGCGAAATGTGTGAAGCCAATTTACAAACAAATATTGTAGAACCCGAGATAGAACCTCATCCTAGTTTTACTCATAAAGACCATGATGCGAGGCGACTTGTTAATTTTTGCATAGTTCACCTATTAAGATCATAAATCAGATGTTTTCTATTTTTATTGAAATTTTTATACCTTTTATTGCAAGAAAAATGTAAGAATTTAAAAAAGTTATGACTCATGTTAATTTTTAATTTTAAGATACACACTGCACTTTTATTTTTGTTTTGTTTTAGATATTCCTGGGTATGGAGATTTTTGGAATGTGCATAAATGTGTTTCTTAATTAGGGTGAGTTTCAAAGCTCACCTGTATTGAAGCTGGAGGCTTATTGTACCCGAAATAGGCATTACAACTATTCTAGATTGAAATAGATTGGAAAAGGCCCTAAAGGGACAATAAGTATAAGAATATTAGAATTAGAATGATTGTCCTTGAATTAATAAGGGATATTTAAAACATTAAAACAATTGTGTTTATAAATTAACTACTTTGACTTTTTATAAAAACTATATCAGGTTTTTTTTAATAATAAAAATATTGTCATGTGCTATGCTGATTATCATATTATATTTTTATTTTTTAGTAATTTAGTGTGTGATATAGTGCTTGTTATGTTCAAAATATGCAGTTAGAAGATAATGAGACACATGTAATTACATGGTAATTCTAAATAAATTAAACTTGTTAACTAATTTTATTTTTCAGTTAAAACAAGTGACATTTTCCATTTTTCAACATTTACATATAACAAAAATTCACTAAACTTATTGTTTGTTTAGTAGTTGTAAGTAAAAGTTGTCAAATGGGAAAATGTTACTTCAAATTGCTTCATATATCTAAATTATCAAGCCCGCCAATTTTTAAATCGCTTTAATTAGTAGTGTTCTACTTTATCGACTGAAACTGACAGGTGTAGTTCAACCGTAAGCGCTTAGTGCGCTACTGTAGAGGTCAAGCAAACTTGTTACCAACTATTTACATGGAATCCGACCCCCGTGATCTTCTATTGTTAAAGGTGTTTGATCCCCAAAAAACCGTGTTGGTTTTAAATAATCATCTAAAAACAAATCGCAGTGTTCAGGCTGAAGTTTTATGCATTCAGGGTCTGTAGCATTAAGCTACATGGAATTGACAAAAATAGTTCTTAAAATGTTTTTTGTGATATCCAGCATGGTGGTACAGTGTTCGACTCAAAACATTTTATTTTCTTTAAAAACTGTTCAGTCTTTTTTTGCAGAGTAATTTTTCATTCACTCTGATGCAATTTTTTATGCCATACAGTAAACTCTTGAATGGTGTCCATTTTTTCGTCTATGCAAATATCGGCTTCATCAGTTAATGACGCAAAAACTGTTTGGTACCTTTCATTTCTTAAAAATAACTTAAAAGGTTTTACTTTTCCTTTATTGCAAAATGCTGCCGCGTAATCGCAATCTGTAAATGCATGGAAAGCGGGTAGACTTCGGCATAATTTTGATCCCAACTTCAACGCTAAATTGGTGCAATTAATGCAATCAAGATGTTGGTTATTTGTCTTCTTTGTTGCTGAATTGGCTAGCCAAATTTCAGATTCCGAAATTTAAGAAAATATTTCCCAACAAAATAATCAAAACATCAGTATCAGAGGCTTTTATTATAATTCTTGAGCCTGGTGCCGCTTTATAAGCGTGAAAAATAATCCTCGTATCCGCGAAGTACACAACCTTCTTGTTTTCTATTATTTGTATGGTAATGAAATTTGATAAGGATTCAAAAGCTAATTTATGCAGTTGCCTATATTTAACATAACTGGGATCGGTAGATTCTTCGGTGGACCGCTTCTCTTTTGTTAGATACACTGCGTAACAATACTGATGGTACGCAACAGTTTGATGTTGAAGTTTCGAGAGATCTCCGAATCACCAAAATTTTCGGCCATATTTTTTATTTGTAATGGTAATTTTTCACTTTGAGGGAATATAAGATAAAGTAACTGCCTCCCACATCATTTTTGCGTGCGGTCGTAAAACAGACAAGTGATTTTGCTTGATGTCGATCCTGTTGATGTTGACGGCTCCTGAAACAATTTAAATTATGTTTAATATAAGACTCGCCAAAAAAATATTATAGAGCAAAAAAATCAATTGATGGAGATTTTTATGTACACGAATAAAAACTGATACCACGAAAAAAAATTTACATATATCTTAACTAAATTGTTGAAAATCAGACTTATTTTTTTTATGTTAAAATACACCAAAAAATATGAGTCAAAAGTAATTAAAACTTTGTACAGAATAAATGAAATAAAAAAAGTAGTCTTCGGTAATTGAGATTTACAAAGAATGAAAAATAGATTTACATTAAAGATATCAATAAAAAACAAAAACTACTAAATCAATTTTTACAATGAAATTATTGTTCTCATATGAAAATACTGA